GTGGTAATAATAATCTGGCCACTCAGTGTATATAAAGTAAAGCTCATACTTCTGCAACAAGGATATAATTTATGCATATCTAATTAGTGTGCAAATAGAGCCTGTATCATTATCAATACTACCATCATCATCATCTTCATTATTATCATCATCATCATCTCTACTGATGTTGAGCAACTACTATGTGTCAGGCATGTGGAAGGATCTTTCCCTCCATGCTACCTACCATTAAATTCTCTAAAAAAACCCAAGTGCCTGCTCTGTTATTATCCTTATTTGGGAAAGGGGAATTCACGGCTCCATGCAGTTGCCAGTGGTTTCCAAACTGTCCATCAAAATGACCTGAATAAAATGCAGATGCCTGGGTCTCACCAGAAAGCTACTGAACCAGGGTATCTAATGGTGGCTAAGTGGTTAGAGCATCGACCTGCACACTGAAGGGTCACAGGTTAAATACCCAGTCAAGGGCACATATCTGAGTTGCAGGTTCCATCCCTGGTCCCTGTGGGAGGCAACCAACTCTCTCTCTCTCTCTCTCTCTCTCTCTCTCTCTCTCTCTCTCTCTCTCCCTTCTTCCCTCTCTTCTACTCTTTCTAAAAATCAATGGGAAAAATATCCTCAGGTGAGGATTAACAAAACAAAAACAGAAAGAAAGAAGGTGTAGCTAAGCAAGCAGACCCAGGACCCATATATGCTGACACACAGTCTGTACTGAGACCACAACAGAACATTAGTGATGCTGTGTTCTCTAAGAATTCTGCATAATGCAAATGGGCACGGGGTGGGGGTGGGGTTGGGGTGGAAACAGTGCTAGGGGACCCTAGATCTTGTTGAAAAAGAAAATTATGGTCTCTAAATACAGTACTACCAAGGAAAAGAGGCATCACATCTGTGGCTGCATATTAAGCTGGCACTCCTTTGACTGAAAAAGAAAATCACTTACTATATACACTACTCAAGTAAGCAAAGCTCAAAACAGTTAGCTACACACACACACACACACACACACACACACATACACACACACACTTTTCCCACCTGCTGTCTGAAGAAAATATCTACGCAATGTGCGTGCCCTATTTTAAACTAAGCTTTGAATTGCACACAAAGCATTCTTCCTGTATCTGTGTTCCTTTCTAGAGTTGAGTCTGCAAAGGGACTAGAAATACATTTCCCTTTAAGTGAGAAAAAAAACAACGAACATTTAAAAGACAGTCCAGACCTTTTATAAAAGCGCTTACTTTGAAAGAACAGGACAGATTATGTATTCAAACAGACACCTTCTAAAGACCGTACCAGAAAGATGTCAAAGCAAAGGTGTTTGCAGCGTTGGTCCTGCTGGGCATGGTTAATAGAAAGAGTAGACCCTCAACCGCGGGTCCTCCGGGCTGCTGCGTCAGGATGACGCTCACAGCAATTATTGTGTTATCACCTTTAGTTTGGAAGACTTAAGCAAGAACACAAAAGTTACAAAACCATAGGTGTCCTGTATTATATAGGGTTTGGGGTCAAGGAGAAGGAACTGACCAGGAATGTTCCGTATCAGGAGGGAGGTGTGCAGTCATGAGCAGACAGAAGCTGAGTGGATCCCCCTGAGCCCTGCTGTTTCTTTCTGGCTGATCTTGAATGACACACAGCCTCTCAGGCCTCACTTTCTACATGAAAAGTTTTAAAGATCCCTCAACTCTTAATGCCCTATTCTTCCAAGCCCTGCCACCTAACACAGGCTCTGATAGAGAGAAACCTAATGAGCCATGTTTTTGTCCCTGTTTCTTCCCTTCCCTCCAGCCACAAAAGGTAGTCAATTCTGGCAAAGGACCACATCTTACTTCTGCCTCCCTACCCCAGAAGCTTTTGTTCAAATTCTGAGAAATGCAAAAGAACTGATTTGCTAAATTCTTTGGGGAATATGCTAGACATACAGATGAGCTGCTCAGATGCCCTTTAAGGTGTGGTCATGGTTAGGGTGCCTTGAGTTAGGTGGGCCTGTCTGCTCCTACCGAGCACAGTTGTCTCTGAACAGGCAAGTTTGCTCCTGGGGGGTCAATTGTACTGGAAGAAACTCTGTTAGGTTGCCATTCCTGGCAGAATTCTACACCCTCCCTTTTTTATCACAGGTGTTACTTCCCTCTAGTACAACCAGAATCTAAGTCTGACAGACACAGAAATGCTAATCATTGTTAACACGGAAGTCCTAATGTTTGTTTATTTTTCCAAAACACGATCTTTGGCAGGCTTCAGGAAACCCATCTTTGAGCAACAAGATACTCTTCTTTGTAGCAGAAAGATCTAGAGTGTAGATTTCTTTTCAATTCTCTTAGCCACAGACACTGTGGACAAAAAGGGGCCACATACTAAACCTGACAAGCTCAGGGGAGACCCGCATGGCAGCCTTACAAACTCAGAGACCTAAAGTGACCACATAGAATGATCTGAAATGAAAACTTTCTAATTCAAAGCAGTTCAAGAACCCCACTCCCACTAGCATTAGAGAAATACCAGCCGTTCATTTCCCTGACAACACAAGAAATTGTGGTTATGCTCCTATTTTACAAACTACATCCTTCGGGAGCATCAGTTGTGATCTCAGTCCTCTCCCTCCCATTAATCAGGCAGAGATCGCTCACATAAATTTTCAGGTATAGTTGGCAGTTCGACAGATAAGATCAGAGCAAGGACCATAGGAGGCCAGGTACTGAAGGTTACCAGGGTGCCGAGCAATGGGCAAAACTGAGAAAACAAAAACATCTTCCTAAGGGCAATCTTTCCTCCCAGGTCATGTGCTTTGGACCCCCTGATCTTTCTTCCCCAGAGATAACATCTAGGCCTGGTTGTGTGTCAGTTCCAGGCTCCGCAAAGCAGCAAAACCAAACAAATAGTGCCACGGCTGACCTCAGGACCAGCTTCATTGAAGAATGACCTTCTGTCCTGGTGCAGACCAATCAATCAGTGGAGACCATGACCCTGAAAGGACACACTGGAAAGCTGCTGAATGTTCTACTGAGATCCTCCCCTAGGACCTCTCCTAAAAGTTCTACCATTAAAAGCCCTTCGAACAAAAGGACCCAGTGCTCTCCCTCCCAGGGGTCTGTGTATGGGTAGAACACCCACAGTTTTCCCTTCCCCTTCTTCTTCCCACCAGGCAGGTTAACTTTACCTTTTTTCCTAAGCTTCAAAGACCCTTCTCTTGGCTCTATAACTTGTTTCTTGACCTCATTTCTTCTTCCTCTGTGCCTTTCTAAATAAATATTCTCTTATAGTTTGAGTCTTGGCTCTGAATTCTTTCTTAGCTAGACCTCAGGCCCCAAGGTTGCTGAACTGAAATCCAGTCTGACCCCCTGGGTCTAACACCTGGTGCCATTCTTGCTGCCGCCAACAGTGGGAGAATATCCAGCCACTGCATTACATGGATCACTGAATAAACTGCTTCAAGTGATCTGTAAACACATTGAGCTTTGCTGTTATATCCAAGGAGTCTCATTAGAGGCGAGGCTTATATCTGAAGACACACATGAACTGAGATTCTCTAGGACATGGAACTTTCTAAGGATACCTGTTCTAGAAAGAGGAGAGAAGGGGCATTCTCCTAGAATGTCCAATGCACCCAAAAGGGAATACTTAGTTGTTTTAAAGACTTCTCACTGTATTGTTAAAGTCAAAGAGAAAATTCAGGAGTCCCAGGAGAATGTAAACAAATGAGGGTGCTGTGTGTTGGGGGAAATGTTTTCTTAGCAATAATAACGCTATCACCAAATGGAGAAGACGACGGGGAGGAATCAAGACTCTGCTGACAGCACAGCAAACTAAGAAAAGGGGCATTTAAAATTACTGAACTGTGACTGTCCCTGGACATTTGGCAGCAAATGACTAAGTACTAATTGAATGCTTCTTGAAAAAAACACATAAAGTGCTCATTCTCCAAGATACTGTAAACTTATCAATTAAGAAAGCTCCCATCTGGAAGCAGTGGTCTGTGCTGTAAGAGGAGACCTGAGCTTGAGGGTTGCTCACCCTTCTGTGAGCTGATGGATGCCAAGACCCTCACTGAACATCTCCTGGGTCCCTTGTCCTCACTGCAGTTATTTCAGAGATTAACTTGATACACATGTGGATGTGCTTAGTAAATCTGCACAGCCATGCAGGTGTAAACTTTTATTTATTTTTAAAACAAAAGCCTCATTTAAGAATTGGCTGAATGCATAGTCCCAGGGCAATACCAGGGCCCTATGGACGGGGATTCCAGCTCAGACAGACAGACAGCCTCATTCGAATCCCTGCTCCTTACACACCAGACACTTTGGAGCAGTGACTTAGCCCTCCATGGCTCAGTTCCCTCATAGGTAAGGTAGGAACAACGGTCATACACATGACTTCAGATTGTGGTGAGTAAAAAAGGAACCCACCCAGGAAAAGCATCCAACACAAATCATGATTTGTGGGGCTGTCCCTAGAAGTTGTAGAACTTCTGAAATATGGAAAGGAGTGGACTTGGAGGGATGTCTGAGAGGAGCTGGGAAAGCTCTTCCGGGAGAGCCACCAACTGCAAGAGGCCCTTCTAATGAACTGGCAACCTTCCCTGGGGCCTGCCCGACGCTGAGTCAGCAGGAAAGATCGCTGCTCTTGTCTCCAGGGGTATTTCTGTGTGTCCATATTGACTGTAAGGCAATTAACCACAGGCCCGCAAAGCTCCCGGCTGGCATTTGGGAAGGACCATCATAGAGTGGTGTGTTTTTTTCCAGGTATACATACACTTTTCACAACTGTACATTCACATCACACAAGAGGAGTTGTCATGCAAAGAAAATTATCTTAAAATGGAGCACAGTCGGGTTTGGGGTTGATGAAGGTGATGGATCTCAAATGTCAGGACTGTGCTTGAAAGAATCTCTGGGCTGGGCAACCACACTGAGCTCTGGACTGAGGCACATTCCATTATGAGTGGAGTGTGTTTATAATGGAATGACATGGATGGGTTCTTATAATCAGAAAAACACACTGACCTTCACACTACACAGGTGCAGCAGCATAATGACCCACCACGTGTATGCGCATCAATTCCTGGGGAAAATCCAATGAGGTTAACTCAGTGTGTATCCCAAGCAAACAGAATCAGTGACATTACCCACATGAAGAACTCGGTGCCCCCACACCATGTAAAAAGAAAAATTACATGAGGATGATACCCACTTTAATAAATGGACAAAATGTAGCAAGCAACATATTTTGTGTCATTCATGAATAATTTTTTTTAATCCTCACCTGAGTTCATGCTTAGAGAGAGGAAGGAAGAGGGAGGGAGGGAGGGAGGGAGGGAGGGAGGGAGGGAGGGAGAGAGAGAGAGAGAGAGAGAGAGAGAGAGAGAGAGAAAGAGAAAGAGAGAGGAAACATCAATTAGTTGCCTTCCATATGTGCCCCAACCAGGGATTGAACCTACAAAGCAGGTACGTGCCTTGATCAGGAATCAAACTGGCAATTCTTTGGTGCACCAACTAAGCCACTCTGGCTGGGCATGAGTAATATGATTCAGATTGTAAAATTTAACTTTAAGGAGTAAGAATCATGGCCTACATTTTTCTTTTCTTTTCAGGAAACCAAGATTTGGTATGGTGTCTTTGGAGAGGAAAAATTCTGTGTTTGAGAAAACTAAAAAAATCCTCAGATATGCTCCACTCATAAGACCTCTTCAACCACAATGAAACTGGATCTATAGTTAAACTGCTGAAAATATCACTGACTCATCTTGGTGCCTTTCTCACTTAGAAATGTACTCTGATGTGTAAGACTGAAGACGGAGCACCATCCCCTTACATGTAGAGTCTAGCAGAGTATTACACCAAGTGGCAATCACTGGTCACAGCATTTTAGGACACAGAAACCTTGTCAAAATTTAGACCTTGAACATAGAGATGCCAGACACAGGAAAATTGCTGAAGGTATCTTACCAGGGTCCTCTTAATCCAAGTATCACTTTAGTTTATGCATCTTTATTCTGATTTTATAACCTCATCTTCCTCTGAAGTTAAAGTTGCTATAAAAGTAATCAATATGGTCTTATTCCAATAAAGTAATATATGATGTAAGGTTTTCAAACCCCCAGTGAAACCTGAAGTTTTGCCGACAAATGAGTTCATGTGAGAAATGAATCAATCACAAGCTTGCACTCTGAGTGCATAGATGAGGGTCCCATCCCTGGTGCGAGCAAATTTGAAAAGAGAGAGAGAGAGAGAGAGAGAGAGAGAGAGAGAGAGAGAGAGAGAATTTGACCTCCATATATTCAGATTCTGCTCTGTGGCATCTCCATGCTGGGTGCTGCTTGGCTTCTCAGTGGTGAGGAAACTGCCTGGCGGTCCCTCCTTAAGGCCCCTTTCCCTGTCATGACCACTGGCCTCCCAGCAGCACCCCAGGAGGCCCAGCTCTGCTCCATTCGCTGGAGGCCCTCAGATCTTCATATGTTCACACGAGGGGCCCATGACCTCAATTACTATCCGAATATTGATAACTCCCAATTTCTGTGACAGCTTCAAGCTCTCATCTTATTCCAAAACTTAGCACTGAGAATACTGGTGTAAAATGTTTTCTTACAGTTTTTTAACTGTTTAACTGCAAAACATGATGCTGGCAATGAAGAATGAGAGCAGAAGCAGTAGTGGAGACTATTAAAAAATGACCAGTGTCAAAAGGATCCAGCTCTAGGGGATCCAAGATGACGGTGCAGTCGGTGGAAGCTACACTCACCTCCTCCCAGGACCAAACTGAAGTCACAACTAAATTATGAAACAGTGATCCTAAGTAACCACCTGAAGACGATTTGAAGAGAAGTCTTATCACCAAGAATTTGGAGAAGAAGCCACATCGAGACTGGTAGGGAGGGCGGAGATGCTGGCCCTGCCCCATAGGTAGTGGCTGACGTTCTGAGGACTATCTCACCTGCAGGGGTTTTCCCCTGAGAAATGCAGGGTCTAAACCTCAAGCCAGATCCCCATCCCAGAGCACCAGAGCTAGCAAGAGGAGGTCACATAATAACTGACTGTGAAAAGCAGCGGAGTTTCTGTCCGCCAGGGAGAGATGGAGTCCACTAGAAATACAGGCAACTGCTTAAAGGGCAAAAACACAACATTTAGTCTGCAGCCACTCACTCTGAGCTCTGGCGGAGGGAAGGTAGAGTGGAATAGATTCCTGTGAAGAGAGTCTGGGGTTTCTGGCTCTGGGGAAGGAGCTGAAGGGCAAGCGCCAGGATCCTTGTGCCAAGTCATTCTCCCATTCCGTAGACACTCTTTCTTAGCTAAAGCAATCCCCTCCCTGTGGCATCAGGCTGGGGGAAAGCAATAGTCCCAACTTCTGGACTCCTTCTCACCCCACCCAGTGGAACTTATCCCTTGCTGAGGGGTACAGCCAGAGGCTCTTCCAATCAGCGAGCCTAACAGGCAGCCAGCAGCCAAAGCTAGACTGGGGTGGACCTCAAGGTGCTTTGGGATTTTTGTTGACCTACCACTAGGTTCAGGGCTGGTAAAAGCCAGCGTTGGTGCATAGCTTGATCATTCATGCACAACTCAGGTGCAGCAGAGGCAACCACAAGCAGTGGATCGCTTGTAGCTCCAAACAGGTTGCTGAGGGGGAGTCACAGGAAGCATCTTATATTGGCCTGCACCAGAGTCCACCCCAAGAGGCCCAGAAACAACACACCCAGTGGCCCACTTCAGACACAGCAGAGCAGGATCCATAAGCTTAGCAGCAGCATATTATATATAT